AAATATATATTTAAATACATGTATTTATTTAAATATGTACATACATACACACACACACATATATATGTATATATATAGGCTAAAAGTAATTCTAGTACAGTTTCTATTTCCTACATTTGTGTACAAGCTATGTGTTATTTTAACTAAACATCTGGTCTTTGTCCCTCATGTAAGAAACCCTGAATTTTCTTGAGTCTTTGGCAAGAGGCACCAGAACCCCATGCCAAGCCAGTAAAAATCACACATTCTTCCCAAGAGGAAAAAATGTCAATAAAATGAAACATTGAAAAAAAAAAAAGTCCAAGCTGAACTAGGAAAGCCGTGATGGCTGCATCCTAATCAGCCTCACAAATCGTTGTAGATTTTTTAAAGTCTACTACTTGGAAGATCTAATACTGGAGGTTTATTCAATATATTGCTCTTAAAAGAAAATCTCCTTCCAACATAGGGATTCAGCCAGTTATTCAGGTTCCTAGAATAAATCATGTGAATTAATTTTTATAAATATTTAATGTCTGTTCTTGCATTGTACAGATTGATTCTTGAGGTTACTTCAACTAGAGTTGAATCTGGACATTTCTTACTACATGGAGAAATAATCTCAGTCTCACACTCACCTCAGCACCTGCCCGGGCCTGGCACTGGCATCTGTCACAGAGAAAGCTGAGAAATAAATACAGTCTTGCCATCAACATATGACAAGCTCATTATAACAAGAGACTCATAAATCTCGACGCAAAGGGAGTACCATTACATATTTAAATAATAATTTTATATGGTTTGTATATGGTGCTTTTACTCGGAACAAAGACAGGTATTTTTTCTCTCTCTCTGCCATACATAACGGTAAAATGAAATATAGCATAATACCACCCCTACCCAGCTCTAAAAGGGCCAAAAGTTACCGGATTTGTAAAATACTTTGGAAACATGAGACACAAAGTAAGAATCTAATACCCATAAGTTCTTCTGTGTAACTCAGCAACTGGATTTTGCTTAGGTAGGAAGAAATAAACATTGGAGAAAGGCAAATGGTTCAGAACGAAATGCCTGGGTTGGGGGTGAGAAACAGAGCTTCATTTCCAGGTCTCTTTGGATGTTAAAATTGGCCACCCTATAGCAGACATTTCCCAGAGCTTCAGGAAGCATGCATCTATGAGTAAAGCAGGATGCCCCGCAACATACGGTTTTAATATGTGTACCCCATAACACACAAACAACCTCTTATTCAGATACTTTACTAGAAGCCCAGATAGATCAGCCCTTTTAAACTCAGGTCACTTCAATTCCTCATTGGTAGGAATTATTTGTTCTCCATTGATTATTTCTTGCCAGGAGTAGAAAGTCTGGACATAGAAAGACAATAAGCAAAGAGCCTTCTTCCACTCAAGACTACCACCCCATGGGAGACCCTGCAGCATTGTCAGAAAGCAGTCCTTGGGGCTGTGCAGTGCCTTTTGTTTGACTAGAACAGATCCCTATCAACTCAGCAAGCTCCACTGGAGCAGAGTGATCCTCTCAAGGTGTGTGATTACTGCAACAGAGCAAACCTAAAGGACTGGCGGTATAGCTCAACGGCAGAACATTTGACCAGAATAGTAAATTCACAAAGTACTTACAACCTCTCTGGGCATGCGGTGAATATTTAAAAACATTGCCTGTGACTGAGTACAATGCTCAAACCTAGAGACAACAACACATGCTGTGCAGTGGGATGTGGGAACAAACGGGAGGGAGGAGCCAGGGCTGTCATGGGAGAGTCTGGCTCAGATCGCCAGATGGATGATAGCGAATGTACTGACTGTGGCTCGACTCCAATCTACCTTCTAGCACATGGTGTGAGGCCATGGACCCAACCCAGTCACCCTCTTTCTTTGAAGGAGGCACATGGCGCTGGAAACGATTCTGTCTTCACGATCGTCTGGTCCTTAGTTCTCACGTCAATGGCTGCTATTGGTGCATGTGAGGGATACTACGATGCCAAGTGGAAAATTCCCAGGAGTCTCATAGATATCCCAGTTTTTCACCTATGCCCAGACTGTCTCACGCTTGTGGTACAGACAAGCACTGGCTTGGAGATTGTGGCAAATTTCTCTGCCATTTGTTATCTTCTCCATCGTGACCTGAATCCCTGACAGTTTGCTCTCTCCCTCAGTGTTCTGCCTTACCCCTAGCACATGCCTTTTCCACTTAAAATTAAGCCTCCAGGGTGGGTGAAGTGGGACAGAAGGTAAAGACACTTGCAGCTTGAGTGATTTCCCAAGACCTGGATGGAAAGGGAGGACTGACTGCAGCCAAGCTGTCCTCTGACCTCCACACATGTGCTGTGGCGTGAAGACACACACAACTTAAAAAAAAATTAAATAGAACTTTAAAGTAAAGCATGTACCTGAATAACACAAGCTAGCAAGAAAACAAACTAAATTTGTATATCTGTATATCTTACCAAGAAGTCCCCAGAGTGCTAAATCTATATGCACCTATGCAGTGGTACATTTCACCAAAGGTGTATATATCCTTTGTCTATCCTGTAGTGTGGTTCTCTGTTAAACTCCTCAATGCTAAACAAAAAATATGATAAAAAAAAAAAAACAACCAATTTCTGTTTTAATAGATGTTGGGAGCCGACTCCTAGCCGAAAGTGGCTATCATCTTTGCAGCCATCTCGAGCCATATACCCTGACAAGAGACTTGTTTTCGACAGTCTGCAACAGCTGAGCACACTCTGATAGACATCTTGTTACACTGTTTAGTGCCCCCCCAGCTGCAAGGTCCTCCTGGTATCCATGGCTACAAGGCACGTGATGTAGTGCCTTCAGTTGAGCTTGTCCACAAGGGCAAGTCACGTGGTAAAGGGTATAAATACCCAGGATTTCCTTTCTATGTGAGTGAGGAGACTGAAGGTGTGAGGAGAAGATAGAAGAAGAGAGGAGAATAAAGAAGAGACTTGAAGAGACTCGACCAGACTTGTCTTGTATCTATCTTTTGCGTCTCTCGCCCCTTTTCCGCCCTTCCTCCATCCCCACTCTCTCTCTTGCTAGACCCTGACCTGCAGACCGGAGCAGGAGAACCGGCTGGCCTTTACAAAGTAGCAGAACCGGCCGTTACAAAAGAACCGGCCGGCTGTTACAAATAGAGGCAAGCCTTGTTGGCCACATTCACACCCTGGAAAAAGTAGAAGGCACCAGATGGGGTTTCCAAAAGTTGATTTGTGTCTAGCCCTTTCCAAACAATGCGGTGCTCTAAGCAGGTCACCGGTTTCGGTTGTACATAAGGTATTGGCACACTATTCTAATTGCATTGCAAACATGGAAAGCTAACCTGGTGGAGCAGAAGGGTAGTGAGTTACACAGGCCCCTCAGAATGTCACCTAGAATAACCTCTAACACGTGTGCCAATACCTTATGCACAACCGAAACCGGTGACCTGCTTAGAGCACCGCATTGTTTGAAGAGGACTAGACACAAACCAAATTTTGGAAACCCCATCTGGTGCCTTCCACTTTTTCCAGGGTGTGAACGTGGTCAACAGACTTGCCCCTTGCCTCATCCATTTGTCAAAAGTTTGGATCTCCTGACCATAAAAAGGGAAGTTCTATCAGCAGTTTACAAAAGAACAATTTGGAAGAGAAGGGTATTGAATCCTAAGGGAAATTAAACCCAAATAATCCAATAACAGCATTACAAAATTAACACAAGACTATGAATTGAATTAATTGCCTCCTACTGTGGGGATTCTTGGCTACTGCAGACCAAAACAAATGAAGCCCAAGGAAGGCAACTGCCTTAAGAGAGGTCACAGGCAAGTGCAGTATTAAAGCCGTGGAGAGTTTACCTACTGCTGCTTCTCAACTTTCTGGCTTACTGTAGACACCTTCGAAATAGAGAATGGTCTTCATTTCTGCCGTCCCATCCCTCAGGTTACATACAGAGGTTGTAGAGAGGGCAGAACAACTATAGACATTTTTGCTAAGTCACCTCCTAGAACCTCCGTGTGGAAGTTGATGGATCTCTGTGTAAGGTCTAGTTCTCCTGAAAGGGCAGAAGGGCAGATGTGACCAGTAGTGGCTTCTCTGAAACAATGTGGGTCTAGTGATAAGGCAGGTCTTTTAAAATACCAGCCAGCTTCTCCAAAAGAGACTCACTGTGGTATTTCAGTGAATACACATTTATTTCTATAAATTCTCCTTTAATGCCATGATGTCAATATGCCTGTGGCAAAGTGAGATTACCTAAATAATACGGGCTCTGGGAGCCACAAACGGCATATGTCTGACTAACGCATCCCCTGCTAGATTTCTTAACTTAAAGACTTTGAGCAGGAAGGTAGGATGTGGCGTCTTTATAGAAATAAAATCCTGGTGATTTATACAGATTTGCCAAATTAGACCCTTAGGGCAAATAACACGGAAGCTGAGCTGCCTCCCGGAATACCTACTGAACGCTCTCTCTGCAGCTCACCCTCCACATGACAGCTGACATTTACTCTTGGTGCTTTGTAATAACCGAACAACATTTTACAAAAACAATTAATTCGTGGCATTTTATTAGGGTGCTATGTGACTTACTATTTTTTTTTCACATCCTTAATTTCACTTGACATTTTGAAAAGACTATGCCTAACCCTTGTATCTGAATTTTTTAAAACCCAGCTAGCGTGTATAGAATATTTTCTTTCCTTCTTAAGCTTCCCTCAAAAACTAACAAAAACACCAAAAACAAAAGATTTCTTGTTTAAGCTCTGAGAAATAAAACATCCTGTTTGTTTGGAATCTTAATGACTGTTGTCCCAACCCTACCTAATTAAAAGAACCTTCATAATGAGGGAAATTCTTTTCAAAGTCAATGGATTTGCAAACACAAACATTGCTGTCTCCCCAGAATGAATTAAGCACATTCCTTGTGTGCATATTTTAGTTACACACTCTAATTAATATTACTACTTAAAATATGTGCAATTTATCTGTTACAGTATAAAAACACCACGAGTTCCCTTCTCATAGACTCACAGACACCAGGCTAAACATATTAACCTAACTGAGACAAAATGGAAATTATTTCATCAAAATGCTTCATTTTATTGACTTTAGCAGTTTCAAGCTTCTTAACATCAAACATCTTTTGTACAGATGAATTGGTGATACCCCATTTTCACAGCAAAGAAGGTTATGGAAAATACTCCCAGGTAAGTTTTAAAGTCTACCTATTACAATTGACATTCTATACTTACACACTAATGTACGTGACATTCTATATGTACACACACTGATATGACAGACATTCTATCCATACACACGCTAATATAACTGACATTCAATACACGTGTTCACAAGCACACACATACTGTTTGTCTTGAATCTAATGCTTTTGTAAAGAGTAAGTAATAAGCAAGTTTATGCTTTGCTTTATTTTGGATTTTGGTTTTCTGTCATAGTTTAGCTTTTCTGTGACAACATAGGATGTTGCTTGTAAAATTTAGCACAGTGGCAATTAGCCTGCTGTCTCAGTGACAAGTACACCCCACTCAGTGTGTAGTATTAAGCAAGTGAAAGGTGGGTGGTACATATCAGTTGACTCAGAGCGCATGCCTGCAATAAAGACATATAGAAATAGCATCCGGATGCACTTCAGCTGGAAGCCTGCATGACAAACTCGGCTTTTGGGTTTTCTCCTCAGCAATTACAAGCTGGTAAAGATTGAGTTATCTTTAGATTCTGGTAAAATGTTCATCCCCACATCAGGGAAGTGCAGGGAACTTCACGTTATGTTTATCCAAAGTGTTTATATGTTCTGAAATTTTCTGGTTAGTATGTATGGGTCAGATTATATTCAGAAAATAATTTTTTTAGCATGTGGTCCAGTGTTTAGGGTAGAACCAAACCTAACATAATATTCACTACACTTTATGTGGCTCCTATAAAGTCAGATTGTTGGACGTTGGCTCTTCACTGAAAATGTAATTTGTAGACCAATTAAAGTGCAACTGAGTTTTTGAAATGTGTTTTATAGTGAAACTCTAAATATAAGGGAGTAAAGAAAGAAACTTGACAGAGCCACCCAGGCCCATGCCCAGACCAGGAGAGATCCAGTTCTGTGGGTCTTTAAAGGGGTGAGGTGAAACACAAGCACTCAGGGGAATGGAAGTTTTCTCTAAAGTCATAATCATATAAGCATATAAAAATACTTCATAAACAATATGAATCAAAAACCTGAAAGAGAATAACTGTAATAAAATCAACTTTTGCCTTATTTCAATACTTCATTATATTCCTGCTGCTTAAACATACTGCTGCACTCACTATATATTTTTTATTAATATTTTATAGTTGTCTTATAATAGTCAAGGGACAGAGAAACTAGATTGCTTTAAGAAGCTTAATACAGATTATTTATTTTAAAATTCTGCATAAAGAAACACAAACTTTGTTTATAGCTAGAGCAAGTCTACAGATTAAAGTCTGGATTTAAGTTAATTTAGGGCTTAAATCTATGGCTTGTAATAAAAATAAATTATTTTAATTCTTGTTTCTAATTATAGCTGAGAGGAATCCCAAAAGGGGAAAAGGAAAGAAGTGTCAGTTCTCAAGAACAAAAAGATTGGGGGGCAAAGAATGTTATTAAGATGAGTCCAGCCCCTGCCAACAAAGTACCCCACTCAGCAGCCAACCTGCCCCTGAGATTTGGGAGGACCATAGAAGAGAAAAGAAGCCCCACAGCACGGGCCAACATGGAGGCAGGGACCATGAGCCATTTTCCCAGCTTGCCCCAAAGGTTTGGGAGAACAACAGCCGGAAGCATCCTCAAGACACAGGCTGGTTTGCCACAGAAATCCCTGCATTCGCTGGCCTCCAGTGAGTTGCTCTACACCATGACCTGCCAGCATCAAGAAATTCACAGTCCTGGTCAAAATCAACCGAGGTAAGTGTGAGAAAGCTGTTTAGCTGCTCAGGTAGAAGATTAAAAATGTGTACCCTGCACTGTCAAAGCGGACAGCTAAGAACGCTAGCTTCTCAGAAGGACAAAGGCAACATCCCAAGTAAATAAACGCCTGCACATTCAGAGCTCTTCAAGGATGGGTGCAATAAGGCCAAGCCACACGCGGCCATACACTAAGTCCATGAATGACAAGATTGCAGATTTAAATTATGACATATCATTGTTTAATGTTCAATGTTTCATCTCTCTAAAATAAAAGTCCCACATGAGAGAATTGTTCCCCAGTTTAGATGACACGACCATCTCAATCAGATGACAAATGCAGGGATTTTTTTTCCCTCAAGAATATTTTTTGGGTGGTGAGGGAGATGGAATGTGGGTTTCATGAATGCTAGGTAGGTAGATGTTCTACCACTGTCAAGCTGGATTCCATTTCTGCCCAATTTTTAAATTACGGTTTTCTGTGTCTCTTTTTATACATAAATCCTTCTACAGTCGTTCTTTGTATTAACTAAAAAGTATTTATTACCCAGTACCTATAAATTATCATAGTATCAGTTACTATGTAAGATTAGATGTTATTTCTAATAAAGACCATATATTAAGAAAAGTAGAATTCCTGACTTTGGTTAGGGGCTGAAGGACATAGGGTTACAGAATCTGTGACAGAATCAGAGAAGCTGTCTTGGAAAATGCCTGGCTTACTGTTTCCAAGAACCTGCGACCATCTGACTTCATATGTCTAGGCTCCATTCCCTTAAATAGACCTTCATTTCTGTAAGACCCTTCATTTTATCTTCTGCCCTACGTTTAGGGCCCAGGCCTGTGATTGCCCCATAGTAAGTCCTGCGTATTTGAGAGAATGAATAAATGTCAAAGGGACTAGTAAGATCCTACGGAGGGGAGTGCATCTGTGGGAGGGAACCCAGAGGTATTTCCTCTGGAGGATAGCTGGACTCTGAACATTTAGAGACTGTGGAAAGGAGACAGATCATTTCCAGACTAAAGGCTGAGGATGAATGAAGGCCTTGAAGAAGGCAAACCACAGAAAGAGGAGGGTTCTCTGCAAGTGCAGAAACAAGTAGAAAGATCGGGAAAGGACAGAGAATAGAGAGTGAGCAAAATGCAGGCAAACGGGGTCCAGACACAGCTTGGAGTCTCAGTTATTAGAAGATGGAGAATTGGCGCCGGTTTTTGCTGAGGCCCTGGGATATATAAAATATAATATGGGGTAGATTTGCACAGCTAAGTCAATGGTAAGTGTCCATAACAAATTCAGAACCCACCAGAGTCATTTCAACTGCAACCCAATTCAGCTAAAGTATAACTAAGTAATTATAAGGATGATTCTTTTTAATATTTTATTTTATTTTATTTTATTTTATTTTATTTTATTTTATTTTATTTTATTTTATTTTATTTTGAGATATCATCTCACAATGTAGCTCTGACTGTCCTGGAACTGTCTATGTAGACCAGGCTTGGCTCAAACTCACAGAGATCCACTTGCCTGTGTCTCCCAAGTGCTGAGTAAAAGGAGTGTGTGTCTACACTATGGGCGGGCTGTATCTTGATGTCCTTTTGCTTGCTAGCGCACTGATAGATGAGAACACTGTCCTGTTACATTTAAGGAGACGAGCGTTCATGGAAACAGATGATGCAGAGAGGAAACCAGAAAACTAGGAACCCGCAAGCCCGGACTTCAAGAGGCTATGAAACTGACCTGTGGTCTAAGCAGCTCTGTGGTGTTGACAAGGAGGAGCATCGATGAGAGCCATTATTCCTGTCAGTATGGGTTATGTTGTCAGTTGTTAACAGGATCAGGGATGCTTGTAATGTAAGCTTGAAGGAACTTTTGTCAGAATAAAACAGTATTGTAAATAAAGAAGCCTCTGGTTAATGGGAGGAAGGGAGGGACGGAGGGAAGGAGGGAGGGAGAGAGGGAGAGAGGGATGGAAGGATAGGGGGAGGAAGGGAGGGAGGGAGGGAGGGAGGGAGGGAAGGAAAAGAAAGGAGAGACTGAAGCTACAAGACTACACATCATACATAACATGTGTGTCCCTTCCTCCTTACACACCCATCCAGCATTGAGCACTTCCTTCTCTTTGATAGGTCTAGTGAAGCCACCTGAGCCTGGTACTTACTCCCCAGTGCCCAGCTATACCTCCAGCTGCTGAGATTACAGGGAGAGAGCTTTTGGGGGGGACAGGGTTCTATATTTATGTGATGAAGTAAAACCTCCCAAAGGCGCAAAAATGCAGTCAGCCTGGGCCAGTTCCTCCTGTCCCATGAAGCTATGAAGCTAGCCCCTTGGGTTCTTTCAGCATTCCCCGCTCCTTGTAGCATAATGCCACAGCTAGCTCTTCAGTGCCCCTTCAGCCTGGTGACTATGACAGACATCCCTGGGTTGAGTTTCCAGCAACATGGATAAGAGGATGTTGGGTCTGCCTTCCCTGTTCTTGCCATGAAGAAAGTCCTATTTAAAAAAAAAAAAAAGAAAGGAAGGAAGAAAGGAAGAAAGGAAGGAAGGAAGAAGAGAAAGAAAGAAAAGAGAAAAAAATCACAAAAAATGTTTGTATAAAAACACATCTCTGTACTACACGGGGATTCTTCTTGAGTGTCTCTCTGTCTCTCTGTCTCTCTGTCTCTCTGTCTCTCTCTCTCTCTCTCTCTCTCTCTCACACACACACACACACACACACACACACACACACAAAACATGCAACCATACGCAGTTATGATTGTTTAAAAAATTAAATAGAACAGATAGCAAGGTAAAGGTTGATTGACATGTAAGTGGACCAAGGCGATGCAGTACCTTGTGAACATGTTTTACAATTACTTCTCTTCCCCAGGCCACTTTAGGTGATTCTGTGACAAACTGGAACTTAAAGCCAGATACCTCTCTGTGTAACAGTACAAAACAAGGGAAGCCCCGAGGTCACAGAGTAACAAAAGAGAAACCACTATGAGCTGTTGAATTTAATGTCTTTTGTGCCCATATTCAAAAACTCACCTCCATGTACCCCTCTGCTTCTCGTTTAAAACTTTAAGGCTTTGATTTGATGGAAAACCATCTGGCCACTCCTCAACTAACAATTTATACATGTGGCAGAACCAAATGAAACTGCACAGTGATCCGACCTTAGTCCTAAGGATATGAGGTCCTTTGTCAGCTGTAACAGGCTGACTGACCAGCTTCTGCTCCACAGGGGACCCACAGGAAATGATTTTCTTCTCTCCCTCCCTCCCATCATCCTCCGCTGGGCCTTGTGACTCTCCCACTCCTGCTGGGCAGAGATTCATTAACGATACCCTGGATAGACTCCATAACTTCCTTGGTCACTTCTTGATATTAAAAAACTCTGTCAAGTCCGGGTGAAGACACCATTCTCATATCCAAGGCAAATTGTTCTGTCCCTCACCAATGGTTGGCCGGTGGGTGGGGAAGATCCACAGTGAGAATAGACGGTTCGGCTCTTTCCTCTGCCTGCAAGCCTCAGTGGTGGCGTGGTGGGAGAGGAAACCATCTAGAAATCTAGAAAACAGTCTGGCCCCTTCTCCAGAGTGTCCAGGTGGGCAAAGGATGATGGGAATTCAGAGTAAGAGATGCTCGTATAGTCTGTGTGAGGCTGCCATTTCTCATGTGAATTAGTCAGGAAGCTGGACAGGATTTCACACTTCCTGGGTCATTGCTGTGGGGGCTTACATATCGTTCTCTGCCTACTGCCTCTCACATGTTCTCATTCTCTCTGTACCCTCCTGTTGCCTGAAAGAAAGGCCTGGCCACCTTTCCAGTAACCACTTGGGGCATAAACAAGACAGGATACACTCACTGGTCAGTCACATAAGTCATGCAAGAACAGAAAAGGCCACCGTAGAGCTTAGGTGTCCCAAGGAACTACCTGAAGTCTTATAACCTCCTGATACATACACCAGTACTCCAAGAGCACTGATGTTGAAGAGACCAAAGTCTCACGTCTCTCTCTGCTACACCGCAGCCTGGAGTTAACATAAATGTGATCCTCAAGGGCTCCTGTGTTTGGTCCCCATTGTGATAGTACGGAGATGGGAGACTACACAGAAGTTCATAGGTCACTGAGAGTACCACATAAGGGACATTAAAGAAATATTAATAGGACTCTGGGGGAATTTGCATGACCTTAGGTCACAGGGACCTAAGACTTGTGATTGCCTCTTTAGCTTTCTGTCTTACAATTCAGTCACTCACTCCTGCCCAGAAAGGATCCCAACATTGTGTGTGATTATGGTTGGGATATAAAATATGTCTCCCAAACTCGTGCTTGAGCAGTGATTGAATCATGAGGGTGCTACCCTCATCAGTGAATTAACGCATTGTGCTAGAGAGTTTTGTGTCCACTTGATACAAGCTAGAGTTATCGGAAACCATAACTGAGGAAGAAGCCTTCATAAGACCCGCCTCTGTTTCGTATTACAGTCTGTTCTGCTTCCTTCAAACTTGAAGATTCATCTATGTGTACTATTTTTTGTTTGTTTGTTTTTTGTTTGTTTTTGTGGTACTAGAAAATAACCCCAGGGCACAGCCTTCTTGAGTACATCAAGTAAGAGGTAGAGAAGAGAATGTGCAGAAATCTTTCCCTGTTCGTGGCCGAAAGCTTACCAGATGCCAAGAACTTAGCTCTTTAAAGACCGTCACATCTTTGTCTTTCATTATTGTTGCTATTTTTTATTTATTTTATGTGTACGTGTGCTTTAGGTACATGTATGTCTGTGTGTCACATATATACCTGGCACTGATAGAGGCCAGAAGAGGGCATCAGATCCCTCAGAAGTGAAGTTACTGTTGTGAACCACCATGTGGGAGCTGGAAATTGAACCGAGCTTCCCAGAAGAGTAACGAGGGCTCTTAACCACTAAACCATCTCTCCAGCCCCCTTCTGTGCTTTCTAAGTAAAAAAAAAAAAAAAATCACACTTAATTAACTTGATTTAATACTTCCAACCTTATTTTTAAAAATAATAGCACATCATTGTACCCCATAAATATACTCAACTATAATTTTTCTGTGTATAATAAAAAAGGCTCAAAACTTGGAAAAATATGCATACACACAGCCTTGGTCCTACTGTAATCATATTTCAATTGGCATTAAGAGTCCAATAGCCCATTCATGCCCTACCCCCCACATCAGCATGTGGGGAGAGGCCTGACTTTGGAGACCACAGTGTGGGTGAGCTGGGAGTTTTCGTCCAGCCTTTGTGCTCTCTCTCAGCCTGGCTGCTCCCTTGGAGTCTACTGGCAGGAAAGAGACTCCAGATGAGATGCAGGGCAGAAGACAGTTCTCAGCAGGCTGGAGAGACTCTAAAAGCAGAGGCTAGCCCTTTGCCTGCAACCCTAGTATCCCCCATAATACCATCCCGGCTGTCCTGGGCAGAGTTCTGGAGCATAGATTCCCATTCCATACACACCCGTTTCTCCTCTGGGGACCCCTAAGTAGGGAGGACCTAAATCACTCTCTTATGAAACACACGTATGGCCATGACCAGCTCACACTTCCTGTGAAGGCATGATTTCAAGGTAACTCTGCCCACCTCTCTTGCATTTACCATTTGGAGCCTTTGTTTCAATAAACCAAAAGGACATTTACTCAGCTAAAGAAAACCCCTCAGGCTTGGGTTGGGGGAATTGATAGCAAGTTAAAGACTTTGTTCAAAGGACTTTTAACAAACCCAAACTCTCCTCTTTAATGTCTCCCAATGAGAAGGGAGCCAGACTCAGTATAACTAACTTCCAACATGTCCCACAGTTGCTGACCTGTGTTGGGAATTTTACAATGATTAGATTTCGGTGTTGAGCTGCAGCACGGAGGGAGTCCTCCTGGTAAGGAGCACCGAGAGCTGCCAGGAGGACGTTTATGCTGAAGCATCAACCGGACTGGAGATTTTTCTGAAGACTTGAGAATTATTGGGGAAACTCGTGGAGATTTTGAAATTTTTTGGCATGTTTAAGTGTATGTGCTTCCTGCTGCCTGTGGAGGTCAGAATAACCCAGACCTTTTGCAAGAACGAGTGCTCAGAGCTGCTAAGCCATCTCTCCAGGCCCATCAGAAGAGATTTTGATGTCAAAAAGTTTAAGAATCACAGCAACAGATTTATTCTAGTATAATTTTAAGTGAGCATCTATTTCAATTAATAGAGGATTGATGTTTCTCACTGGTCCCAAATAATATCTTTTTACAGCAGAAAAAAATATAGAAAGAGATACACACACACACATACACACACACACACACACACATACACACACACACACATACACACATATACATATACATATACACACACATACACCACAGACATACACACATATACACACATACACACACACATACACACACACACATACACCACAGACATACACACATATACACACATACACACACACATACACACACACATACACACACACATACACACACACACATACACACACACATACACACACACTCACATACACACACACTCACATACACACACACACACACACACACACACACAGAGCGTAGTCTCTCCTAGCACTTTCCTTCCCTGTGACCTAACCTGGATTGGTGACACCCAACATCCCAGCAGGCCTGTGAAGGGGGGCAGAGGACAGAGGCTTCCAGAAAAGCTGGGGACTGGGCTGCTCTGATACAGGGATGGTTCTCATGGAAGTGACTGCCATGTGGTCTCAGCACCACATGTCATGCATCATGCTCTGACAATGACCTTGAAAAATACAAAAAAGGGAAAAGTGTCCTGACTCTGGGGCAATTTCTTATGAGAGAAATGAAAGGTCGGTGCTCACCTAACTGTGACCAAAGAAATGAAATAGGTGTGCTGGCTCCGTGAACCCCGCT